TTTACTCTTGAGTAGAATTTAGGCAAAGTAAAGATACTTTTACTCAGTTACAATTTTTTAGTACTCTTTCCAACTCTGTGCTAAAGAGAGATGCTGGTAGAAGAAAAAGACTGAGTTAAAATAAAATGTTATTTACCTTTGGAAATAAAATATTTTTGAGTTGAAGTTTTAAACTAAACACAGAAGGAAGTTATCATCAACATAAATTAAGTAAGATAGGCTCAAATGACCATTTACTTGCTATCAATATTTTCACTGATGGTGATCTAAGCACCAAGCGTAATAACTGAACTCTTTCCATCTGGAAGTAGGAAACAACCTAAAGCTGGACATACACTGTTAGATTTATTCCCCTTTGTGGGACGATTTTCCAATCGTCTGAGAATTTTTTCGATAGGGCCAACCTTCAGCCCCATCGTGCGTTGTGTAGCGTACAGGGGGTAATGAGGGGAATCAGGAATCGTAAGGTCGGGAGAAAATCAGACATGTTTGAAATTCAGTCGGATGTCGTAAGGTGGTGGTGGACAAATCCTGCTGCTCAAGCAGCACTACGATTTACCAGAACCTCGAGCATTGCACATGTACAAACAAGGGAGTTCTTCTTCTTCTTCCAGATTGACGAGTCCGACTAGCGCCATCTCTCGGAGCCGAGTCAGACGTGGTTTTTAGACGTACAGTGTGCGCAGGTAGATTGCATCAGAGCGTCGGGTCGCACAGTGTGAGAAAATACATCGTGAGTTGTAAACTTTTAAACCCTGCGGTTTCATCATACAGTTTGAGTTGTAGCTGCATGCAATGATAGAAAAAACCCACAGTTTATGCCCGGATTAAGCCTCAGAAACTAAACTAATGGTGCGATGGTGAGAGAGATTTCATAGCTGCATGAGTCTGTGCTGCATGAAGCCATGTGTTCTGCAGGAACTTGCTTGATTAAAAATCTTTACATGGATCTTCTTTGTGCATTTTGTTTTAATCAAATAAAAAAAGATTAAATGGACAGAAATAATGAACAACAGTGCAAACAATTATGAAAGATTTATAACAAAGAAAAAAGGGAAAAAAGGGAATGGAGGTTGGGTTTCCAACTAGGCTCACAGCTTCTCAGACCAGAACCGGTCTGTTCAATAATTTAATCATCTAAAACGACTTTTTGATTTCTACTGCTTCATTTATCGATAAGTCACATTCTAACAGAGGAAAAGGTTAATTTTTTCTCTTCCTCCTGCCTCACAGTTAAGAAAAAAACCCAGAAAACTTCCTTCTTTCAAGCTGAAAAACCCAGCATTAAATATAGGGAGCATTGAGTGAATTAAACCTTTAATTTAACAGGTCAAAGCTGCATTAACTTTTCTTTTTATGTAGGAAAACCAACTTTTGCGGTTGGCTTTAGGGTTAGAGGCTGACATTCTTCCATTGTTAAGAGGTTCGATTGTTCTATTTTCTGAACCATGACCAAGGAAATACACTGGAAAAAATCTTAATCTAGATAAGTCATTTTTTCCTAAAACAAGTGCGATTTCTGTTGAATTGAGGAGGGAAGTAAATCTATTTGCCATTGAAACAAGACAA